AATGGGACTGGGAAAGTCCATGCAATGGCCTTTAGCACAAAAGGTGTTCATTTGTCAGTACTACACCCATCTGAGCCAAAATGTCCCGACCAATAAGGCACTGCACAGTGGGAGGCAAAGGTACAACTGATAAAACACTCCACACAGTTTTGTCATCAATAGTCACAGATAGCATGGGTGTGTTTCTTGCAAGTGTCAGGCCTCCAACTCCGGTTACTGGCATTGTGGTTGACTGCAATGGCCAGTTGTGGGGCCAAAAATCCGGACTCACAATGCTGGAGTCCGCGCCAGTATCTAATAATCCTACCAAGGTTTGCTTCTCACCCCGATAATCCAAAACTACAGTGCGCTTTGGTCGTTCATTCAGGTTCATTGTTAAAAGAGTAAGGCCCCAGTGGATCCAAATCCATGCTCTCCTCTCGACTGTGCTTGACGAGGGGGTACAGTTTTAGCCAACTGTTGCAAAGGAATCAGTTGAGCTATCCTTTGTCCTTTTTCGATTCGCATAGGTGGAAAAAGAGTATACACCATAATAGAAATCTCCCCTGTATAGTCAGCATCTATTATTCCAGATAAAACAAATAATCCCATCATTGTAGCCGAGGAACGACCTAAAAGCAAAGCTCCCATAGGTAATCCATCAATAATGAGTGGTCCCTTTACTCCAGTTGGAACCTTTTCTGGGTGGGTGGTCATCAGGGTTACTGTGGCTGCGGCTGCCAGGTCCAATCCGAGGCTCCCGGCGGTGGCGGGCTGGAGGCAGGTTGAGCTGAAGTGGTGACAGCTGCTACTTGTGTCTGGGCGCGGCGGCTGGTGGACGCGCTGGCTCTGCCGTTTCCCGAGCAGCGTCTGCAGGCTCTGGTGTTGTGGGTATCCAGGCGGCAATTATGACACCAAACACTGATTGCGGGACAAGCCCGTTGCATGTGCCCCATACCTCCACACCGGTAGCATTTGAGTCGGCCAGTAGATGGAGCTCGTGGAGCATTTATTGCTGCTGCCTGGAGCGGGGCGAGGGCTGCCAGCATCTGATTCTGCGAAGACTCTGCCTGTTTCTGTAACCCGACTCCTAGCTCGTTAATAGCATTTACTAGCATTGCTTGTGATCCCACTGGAACATTTGCTAACCGTTCTAAAGCCTCCTCTATAGACCAATTAGCTCCCAGGGTATTTAACACATTCTTGGTAGGCTGATTGCTGTTTTGGAGGGCGCACTGCTTTAGCAAGGTCCCTTTCATGAATTCAGGGACTCCTGCCCGTTCAATAGCGTTGGCTACCCTATGTAGAAAAGCTCCAAATGACTCATCTCTATCTTGCTTTATTCCCATGTAAGAAGGAATTCCTCCCGGATCCTTAATTCTGTCGATAGCTAAACGTGCCAACCGCATAGCCTCCCTGCACTTTTCAGGACCAATTAATGCCTGCGCTTCCGTTCGAAGAAAAGGCCCGAACCCCATTAATTCCTCCAGGGTTACCCCATATAACGGGTTGCCTGGCTGCCGTACTATTGCGACACATTGCTGACAGATCGCGTGCCAATGGGCATTGAACAGAAGCTGTTGATGCTGAGTAAAGATGAGCCGTACTAACGCCCTGCAATCTGCCGGCAGCAAAACCTGAGTGCCCCAGAATATCATCAGTGGCAGTCCAGCATTTGTTTTGTGGGTTCACTGGTTACTCCAAATTGACTAACCGTGGATCGTAACTGTGATAACAATTTCCAATCCAAAGCAGTTATTGTAGCTTGAAACCCTCCCCCCGCCAGGGGAGAATAAACCACTGGACAGGCAATTTCCACAGCAGCTGATATCGCTCCATCATCCCCCGTGTCCATGAATTCTTTCGCTACCACCGCCCATGCCTCCCTTCGCTGCTGTGCAATGGCCCTTGCTAGGTCACTCTCTGACCCGGGGGTGGGCGCATTACTAGGCGGAGGAGGTGTAGGGTTTGACACCGGGGCAGGCGGTGCGGACGGCATTGCTGGAGTACATGCGGGGGGGAAGCTGCTGCCTGAAGCAGGAGCTGATAGAAGCGGGGAGCTGCTGTTTAGAGCAGGAGCTAATGTTGGCGGGGAGCCGCCGCTTAAAGTAGGTGCCGGTGCCGGCAGGGGACTGCCGTGTAAAGCAGGAACCGAAGTCAGCGGGGAAGTGCTACTTAAAGCAGGCGCCGATGTCGGCGGGGCTGTGTTGCTTAAAGCAGGCGCCGATGTCGGCGGGGCAGCGTGGCTTAAAGCAGGCGCCAGTGTCGGTGGGGAACTGCTGTTTAAAGCAGAAGGCGATGCCGGCGGCAGATTGACTGTGGACGTAACAGGGGGTAATGGGGAACCAAACCAGTCTCCGTAATTCCTGTTTTTTTCATGGGCTGCACTAGCCTGCTGAGCAGCTCTTTCCTCCGCCTGATATTTCAACAATTTATCATGCACGACTCACCACAACTTTCCCAACTTTCTTGCAGTTTTATCATCATCTATGACTGCGTGCCACAACTTATCCCAAATATAGGCCACTCGGACAACTCATGCACTGTGTGAGGATTTTGAAAAAGTCTCTGTGCATACCCATGAGCTAACAACCCATGAAGCTCTTTCTGCAAATCTATACCCTTAACCTTATGCTTTTGTAAAAAGCTAGTAAATAAATCATATGCTGCTTGCCTTTCTTTATCCATGTTAAAGATAACAGCGCTCTTCTTGGAGCCCTTCAAGGCTCCGGCAGCATGTATCGGCCGGGGTCTCTGATGAGGTCCCGGGGCGCGGCACTTTCCCTTTTTCAGCAGTGCTTTCGCCGTCCTCGGCTGCGGTAGGACCCGAACTCCTTACACCGATCGACCGTGGCTACCGGCTATCACGTCGCGGAGTCACCATTTGTCGTGATCGGCGGAGGAATTGCCTCACACAATATGCGTGAACAGCAAATCCCAAAGTTTATTGATAGCTCACACATATTTATATTGGTGTTAATGAAGCTTATACATATTGCAAAAGCTGAGCTCATTATTGGTTAAAGCACACTTAGATCAACCACACCTACTTCTATGCTCTAATGATTATTTGGCTTCTATGTTTACATTCTTATAGCTACTCTACCTAGGCTATCTTCATTTTCTGGCAAGCGATTTTCTCCCCCATCTTCCTGTTTCAGCGAAGGTCACCATGACCTTTGTCAGTGATTGGACACTGGTTGCATAATCCCCAGCTTGTTTCCCCTATCCTTATCCAATGGTATCACATTGAACTGGCCTTTCTCAGCTAGCCAATTATCCACAAAGCTCTCCACACCACAGCCTGAGGCCAAACATTCTTTCCATGAGGTTTCAGAAGGCCGCAGGTTTTGTTCAAGAATGAAGGCCTATTACAGCTTGTTGAGCTGAGTGTTGTTGTCTTTGCAGTAGTTCTGGGGCTCCCTCAGTCCCTTGCCAAGAGGGACAAAATGATCAATTGCTGCATTTCGGGACTCGTTCCCCCAAAGCTGCCCCTGCAGGGGCAGTTTCCAGCCCGCCCTGCTCTGAAAACCATCAAAGGCCCTCCCAGAGCCACTGCTTCGGCTCCCTTTGGGCTTTGTGCTTCTTGCAGGGCTGAGCAAACCACAGGCAGGGCCTTTTTCCCCCACAGAATTCTCACCTCTGCAGCAGCTCTAAAGCTGCCAGAATCAAAGCCAAGGGGGCAGGGGGGACCCTCAGGTGCTGGCTGCCACCTGGGGCTGGGCAGAGCAGGGCTGGCCAATGGCCATCCCTGTGCAGTGGGGCTGGGCCATGGCTGGGCCCCACCCTTGCATTGACAGGGGTCCCCAGGATGTGCCACCCCTGGGACAGGCACCCGGCCAGGAATGTGCAGGGACATTTCCGGAACTGCCACCCCCTGGGACAGGACCTCCCATGCCAGGATGTGTCACCCCTGGGACAGGATCCCCCCAGGACAAGAGCCTCTGAATGTGCTCCCAGGACAGAACCACCCCCCCCGTTCCCATCTGACTCTCAGCACAAACGGCCTCTTCCTTCTTGTCCAGGAAAAGGAAAGTATTGAGGAAGCACAGTCCAACACCTCCATCCCCCCCAGCCTCCCCACCATTCCCTGCACCTCCTTCTCCCCATTTTCCCCCTCCCCTGGGTCCCCCCAACCCATTCACTGCTCAGGTGCTCCCCGGGATTGCTGAGCCAGGAACCGGGGGTGAGGGGACATGGCAAAAAGTAAGGAGAATAAGCAAAAAAGAGAAATAAAGACAGGAAAAAGTCAGGGGCAGGGGAGGACACAGAGGCTGAGCTACCCAGGACCCCCATGCAATGCCTGGCCAGGAAATGAGCACCCCAGGGGTGATTTTGCAGGGCCCTGGGTCACTCCAAAATCTGAAGCATCCAGGGAAGGAGCTGTGACCCCAGGCCCCCCCAGCCACCGCCCATCCCTGGCACCCCGATTCCCCTGGGACCCCAACCTTGGGACCCAATTTCCTTCTGTCCCCCCTTCCCTGAGACCCCCATCCCTGGACTGCAACTCCCCAGGATCTCCAACCCCAAGGAACCGCATCCCAGTAATTCCAGTCCCTGGGACACCCCTTCCCTTGGGGACCTTGATTTCCCCAGGGCCCCCATTCTCACAGGGACCCCCTTTCTCCTGGCACCCCCATGCCATGGCTCCCATCCCATGATCACAAATCCCTGGAGGCCACGTTGTTCTGGGACCCTCATTCCCAAGTCTGAGTCCACCCAACCCTTGGGACCCCCATTTCCCCGGGACCCCATCCCTGGGCACCCCATTCCCCTGGACACCCATCCCTGGCTCCCTACACAGCCTTAGACCCCAGATTATGGCAACACCATGTCCCCACCATGTCCCACCCTGCCTCCCATGTCCCACAGCGTCCCCACTCTGCCCCCACCAAGGGCCACCTACACATGGGGACAGACGTGACCTCGCTTCCTTCCCCTTCATCCCAAGTGCCGCCAGCCAGGGGAGCGGTGGCCACAGCAGCGAGTGACAGCCAGTGCACATGGCTGGGGACACCGGGATGGCCGGGAAGGTGGCGCTGCTCCTGTGGGGTGAGTGCCCCAGGCACGGGCCTGACACCCTGGGGATGGGGAGGGAAGGGGGCATAGGGGGCTGTGGGGTCCCCTGAGGTCCCCAATGCCAGCAGAGCCAGAGCAGGGCATGGAGCCCAGTGTGACCAGAGTTGTGGGGTGGCTTTAGGGACAGAAACTGGGGAACTGGGATGTGAGGACAGGAACAGGGGAATGGAGTTGTGGGAACAAGGATGTGGCAGAAGGAGCCTTGGGGCTTGGGTAGCTGTGGGGACAGGGACAGGGGAACAGGGATACAGGGACAGGGACAAGGGCCATGTTGCATGGGGATGGGCCGGGAGAACAGGTGCCATTGGAATGGGATGATGGGAACAGGGCCATGGATTTATGGCTGTGGGGACAGGTGCTGTAGGGCTGGTGGAGGTGGCCAGTGCAAACATGGGGTGTCCACATTGTCCACATGACCCCCACCCAGCCCTGTCCCTTCTCCCTTCCAGCCCAGACCCTCGGCCTCGCTGATGAGTCCTCAGAGGATGCCATGGCCCCACCCCACTGTCCCCAGCCCCACACTGGCCCTGGCAGGCTGGTGTCCCCTGTCACCTGCAGGTGCCCAGACCACCCAGCTCCTGGTGGAGCCCCCCTGGAGGCCGGCGGTGATGTGGGACCGGGTGACCCTGACCTGCCAGGGCTCGGGGACCACCGGTGCCACCACCTGGTACAAGGATGGGCAGCGCTGGGGGCAGGAGGGACGTGACCGCCTCAGTGTCACCATGAGTGGCACCTACACATGTGACAGACCTGGCATCAGTCTCAGTCCCCCGTGACTGTCTCAGACAGTGAGGGGGGTTTGGGTATCCCCAGCCTGGCACCCAGGGGACCCCCAGGGCTCTCAGTGGGCTCCACTCCATGGGTCACCTCCTGGTGTAACCAGAGCCTGTGCCCTGCTCTGGGGACATCCCAGAGTATCCTAGTGTCGGGGAAACCATGTGGGAACTGGGGACCCCTTGTGCACTGGGTGTAACCCAGATGGGGTCCCGGTGCCATCGGGTGTGACAGGACCCCTCTGTCCCCCATGCCCGCTGGTGCTGCAGGTGCCGGCACAGGCGCTGCTGGAGGGGACATGGTGACACTGCACTGCCAGGGCTGGTGGAACTGCACGGTCACCTCGGTGTCCTTCTACCGTGAGGAGAAGCGTCCGGGGGGGCTCCATGATGGCACCGAGCTGTCCCTGTCCCCTCTGCAGCTGCACCACAGCGGTCGCTACAGATGCAGGGTCTGGTGAAATCCTGGTGGTCAGGGAGGTCATGAAATTCAGCACTGGTGACAGTGACAGGGCACGGTGAGCACCCCACAGCTGCCACCCTGACACCCCCACAGCCCCTCCCCAGGGACTCGGGCTCACAAATCCCCCTCCCCTCTCCTTCCCAGAGCTTTTCTCAGTGCCAGTGCTGGAGGGTCCCCCCTTACTCTCAGCTGCCTCAGCACCCCCAGCCCCCTGCGGCCCGAACCCCCCCTCCTGCACGTGTTCTACCGGGACGGGCAGGGGTTGGGGGGCCTGCAGGGTCCCTGCAGCTGCTGGTGCCCACCGTGGGGGTCTCCCACTCGGGGAATTACAGCTGCCAGCTGCGCTCCGAGGGGGGTGCTGTGCAAAGCATCAGCGCCTGGCTCCGTGTCACGGTGCGCAGTGAGTGCGGGGATGGGCACGGGGAGCCCCCACAGCCTCCTCAGCTCTCCCAGGCCTTCAGGGGATGCCCAGTCCTTCCAGACACCTGCCCTGTGGCCCCAACCTTTCCCAGATCCTACCCTTGCTCCCCTGCTTCCTTCTCATGTCCCTCTCAGGGTCCCCCACCTCTAGAGGGCTACCCCCATCCTACCCCTACACATTTTATGTGTCCTGCCATCCCTGCCCTGGGTCCCACGCCAGGTCCCCCCATTCCTGGCTTGTGTCTCCTCATCCCTCTCTGAGTCCCCTCACCCGTCCCTGCATCCCCCCATCCCTATCTGAAGTCACCACACATTCCCCAGGTCACATCATTCCCTCCCTGGCTCCCCATACCCACCCTGGTGTCATCCCCCCATCCCTCCAGGTGTCCCTTGGGGTTCCTTTCAAAGCCCCACCAATCTCTGCGTCCCCTCTCCCTCACTGGGGTCTCCCTGCCCCTCCCATACCACCCCCCCGGGTCCCTCACTGTCACTTGCTGTCCTCCCCTCCCGCAGGGGTCCTGCCCTTGGGGGTGTCCCTGTCAGCACAGCCCCCCGGGGGACAGGTGGCACTCAGGGACAGCCTGGTGCTGAGCTGCACGGTGGCCACAGGGACAGGTCCCCTGTCCTTCTCCTGGCACCGGAAGAGCTCAGGGGCACGGCTGGGCACCGGCCCCTGCCTGGAGCTGAGCCACGTTGGGGACAATGACAGCGGCCAGTACCGGTGCCGGGTCAGTGATGGGGACAGCGTGGCCAAGAGTGACCCCATGAATGTCACCGTCCTGGGTGAGCGGGACCCTCGGGCTGGAGACGACCGCACCCAGAGCACTCCCATCCCACTTCACCTGGTGCCAGCCCTGTCTCTGTCCCCACAGTGCCCGTGGCCAATGCCACATCACCCCCAGTCCCCAATCACACCAGGTGCTTGCAGGTGACCCCGTGACCCTGCACTGCTCAGTGCAGGTGGGCTCAGCCCCTGTCACCTTCACCTGGCTGCACAACAGGCAGGAGGTGGCTCAGGTCCCCTCCTGGAGCTCAGGGACATCAATGTGGGACATGTGGGCACCTACCAGTGCGTGGCCACCAACCAGCTGGGACAGGATGGGCACCGCGTGTTCCGGGCACTCAACCCTGAGCTGGCCCTGGAGGTGACACCACGGGGACACTGCAACAAAGGTGGGGTCCCAAAGGGTCACCAGGGAGTGCAGGACCCCTGGGGTCATGGGTGACCCTGATGTGTTCTCCTATGTTTCTTGCGGTGGCCGCAGGGGTCGGTGGGGCCCTTTTGTTCCTGCTCCTGCTTGTGGGTGTCATTGTGGCCTGGCACCAGTGGCACCATGTGGGTGGGTGACAATGGGGGCACAGGCATCCCAGGGAGCTGTAGAGGCCCCCAGTGTTGGACAATAATTGGGCAGCACCCACAGCCCCAAAATTGTGGCATTGTCTGTGAGTCCTTTAGGGTTTGGGGAGGTGCTGGAGGGTTGTTCAGGGATGCTGGGGGTTCTCTCAGAGGCCCTTGGGGCAGTTAGGAGGTCTCTGTCCCTGCTGGGCTTTGGGTTCTTTTGGCTGAGTTGGCTGGGGACACTGGGGAGGTTCCTGAATTCTGGGAGGCTTCAGGGATGCTTGAGGGTTCTGTTGTAAATTGAGCGTCCCGTGGGGGTCAGGAATCCTGGGAAGGTTCAGGGTCCTGCGAAACCACAGTCACATCTCCCCTCTTTCCACTGCAGCTTCCAGGAAGCACCAGGTAAGGTTGGTGAAGGGCTCCCAACATGAGTCCCCTTTTACCCCTACCCCACAGCTCTCCATTCTCTCCCCCACATCCCCTTTATTCCCTCAGGGCCCCCCCGGATCCCCCAGCCCCCCCAGAGGAGGGGGAGGTGATGTACACCCACGTCGCGGTCACCAAGAGGGCAGGGGGTGAGTACGGGGGGAACACACGCAGAGGGACACGTCACCCACCAGTGTCACCCCCACCCAGATCCCACAGCCTGTGTCTCTCGCAGCGTCCCCCCGTGCCACCACCCTCCAGGATCCCCAGGTGACCAACGCGGAGCTGCGGGGACCCCAGGGGCGACCGTGGGAACCCGGTGACATCTACGAGAATGTGCTGTGACACTGGGGGGAACTGGGGGCACTGGGGGTCCCCACCCATGGGCACCCACTCATGTCTGTGCTGCCACTAAAAACTGCCCCAATCTCTCCCTGTGGGGGCACAAAGATCCCAAAAGAGCCAAAAGAAGAACAATTTCCTGAAACAGCAATGAGAGAGAATAAAACAAACAGCAACAGCAACAAGGTTCAGAGTCCAAAGGATAACAGAAGGAACAATTTCCAGGGAAAGCCCCCAATAAGGAACAAACCCAAGACATTTCCCCCAGCAGGTTTCTTCCACCACAGGAATCTTGCAGGGCCCTGGACCTTCCTTGCTCTGATGGCCAAAGTGGCCTTCAGGAGGCTCGGGATTCTCTTGTCCCCTGTCCCAAACCCTCCTCTGCCCTGTTCCCCACATGAGGATGTCACAAAGGCCCTGTGGCGGTTCCAAAGCCTCCCCCTTTCCCAGGGCAGTCGGGATCAGGCCATGGCACAGGGCGGGGTGTCAGAGACAGGAAAAGTTTGATGTCTGGAGACATTTTGGAACACCTGTGTGTAGCAGGGGTGGGTCAGGCCTTGCTTTTGGTGAGACAGGGCCCCGTCTGTCCATCAGTCTGTCAGCCATGGCACACTGGGGACAGTGTGATGCTCTGCCAAAGCCAGCTCCGGACTGGCCGGGTGGCCAGGAGTGCCTGCTATGGAGAGGGCCCTTGGTGGCCCAACTGGCTTAAAGAACAAAGCATGAGATGGCCAAGTCCCTGACCGTGTCTTCTCTTGGGTTGTCTGTCCCATCCACGCTGGAAGCCAGCAGCTGGCAACTCGTTTAAATGAGAAATATCTACCAAGGAAAGTGAGAATGTTCCTGGAATGGAAGGAAGACCCATGTCTAAAAATCTTTTTCATTTCAAAAATGATAGGGCTTCCAGGCAAAAGTGTAGGAAAAGGAATAGCAGCTCTTTACTGGGAAATTTATAAAGCAGAACAGAACCAACAACACAAACCCAGAACTTTCCCTCCCGCTCAGCACTGTTGGTTTTTGTGGCAGTTATAACCGTGGCCAGCAGGGGCCGCTGCAGGGAGCACTCCCGGCCAGCAGGGGGCGCCCCGCTCCAGCTCCATCCCCTCAGGGGCCATGGCGGCCTCAGGCGGGAGGGAGGAGGGCAAATCGCTCCTTCTGCAAACTCACGGCCACCAATCGGTCCCGCACCACCACCGTCAGCGGGCAGAAGCCGCCAAGGCAGCAGGTTGGATCCCAGTGCCCACTGGCAGCGTAGCAGTGTCCCAGGGCCGGGCACACGCCCTGCACAACACCCGCGACCGCTCTCCATGATCCCGAATGGAAGGAAGGCAGCGCCTGACCCCAGGCAGGTCTCGGGTCCACAGTAGCACCTCTGGTGGCTTTACACCACAATTCCTGCAAATCCCCAGCCTTTCACTAACGTGAGGAGGGCAGGGATGGATCAGCTTTGGGGACACCTGGAATCCAGACAGGGTCACTCCCCACAACGGCCAGAGCTCCTGCTCGATATTTCCACACTTTTCTCTCTCTTCTGATGACCACAGCCTGAGGCCAAACATTCTTTCCATGAGGTTTCAGAAGGCCGCAGGTTTTGTTCAAGAATGAAGGCCCACTTCAGTTTGTTGAGCAGATTGTTGTTGTCTTTGCAGTAGTTCTGGGGCTCTCTCAGTCCCTTGCTGAGTGGGACAAAATGATCAATTGCTGCATTTCCGGACTGGTTCCCTCTCAGCTACCCCTGCAGGGGCAGTTTGCAGCCAGCCCTGCTCTGAAAACCATCAAAGGCCCTTGCAGAGCCACTGCCTGAGCTCCCTTTGGGCTTTGTGCTTCTTGCAGAGCTGAGAAAACCACAGGCAGGGCCTTTTTCCCCCACAGAATTCTCACCTCTGCAGCAGCTCTAAAGCTGCCAGAATCAAAGCCAAGGGGGAGGGGAGATTCTCATGTCCTGGCTGCCACCTGGGGCTGGGCAGAGCAGGGCTGGCCAATGGCCATCCCTGTGCAGTGGGGCTGGGCCATTGCTGGGCCCCAGCCTTGCATTGACAGGGGTCCCCAGGATGTGCCACCCCTGGGACAGGCACCCGGCCAGGAATGTGCAGGGACATTTCCGGAACTGCCACACCTGGGACAGGACCTCCCATGCCAGGATGTGTCACCCCCTGGGACAGGATCCTCTCATGAGAGGACCCACCTTATCTCAGTTACTGCTCCTGTGTTTTTCACAAGTGGAATGCATTGTGGAAGATTGTTTACCTGAAGGGAATTGGTAACTGGATTCTGGTGTGAGTGTTTTGATTCACTAACCAATTGAATCCAGGTGTGTGCATGTCAGGACTGTTGGCTGACAGTCATGAGATTGTGTGCAGTGGAGTGCAGTTGAGTGCTTGGCAGATTCAGTTTAGATGTAATGTAATATGATATAGAATAATATAGTATAATAAAGTAAATAATTAGCCTTCTGAAAAGAAGGAGTCAGATGCATCATTCCTCCCAGTCATCAGGCAAAATTATCACCGATACTCCCCCCCTTCACCTTTTCCTCCCAGTGGTCCTTCTTCCCTGTCCACACCCGTTCTTCCCTGCTTCACTGCTTCCCCGAGGCAGCTCATTCCTGCTCCTCCTGGACGTTCCTTCATTGTTTCCCCGATGGAGCGGATGCTGCCTGCGCCCACCCGCCGCCTCTGCCGCGTTTCCCACGCTGCCCACAGCCCCGAGCCTGCTGCACCTGCCCACGGCAGCCCCAGCCCGCAGCAGCCAGCCCAGAGCCACCAGTGCCCAGCACCAGCCCGCAGCCAGCCCGCAGCAGCCCCTGCAGCCATCGCTCGCAATGCCAGAGACACGCAGGGGCCGTCCTTGGAAATCACGCCCAGCCACTCACAAAAGCCATGTGGGCTCGCCCTGGCTTGCAGCACACACACTCCATCTGCCGAGCTGATGCCCACAGAGCGCCCGGGCTTCTTGTGCTAACGCTGTCCCTGTCTTCTGTTTCTCTCTCTGTCCTTTTCCCTTTCTACTCCCTTCTCTCCCCCTTCAGTAAGAACCCTTACCCTCCTTTATCAATAAACAATTCTCAGATATAATATTGCCATGTTTGTGCTTCATTTTCATCTGAGAAACCTTTCAGCAAGAATCCTCCCTGACTCCCCCTTTTACAGTGGGATGGGACAGGGGTAGTGGGAGGGGGAATGGGGCAGCCCTGGGTGTACTGCAAGCACTGTGGGGAGAGAATGGGGCACTCCCTGAGGGTACTTGGGCACTTGGATGGGGCTGGGGAGCCCCTGCAGGTACGAGCAAAAGGGATGGGGGAGCCCTTGGGGGTAGTGGGAGAGGAAATGGGGAGCACAGGGTGCCCTGTGTAGCCTCCCCCTGACCTATAACCACCTCCCTTGCAAGGATGGGCAACCACAGGAGCCATGGAGGGAGCACCCCCAGTGTCACCCAGTGCCTCCCACTTCCCAGAGCATCACAACTTTTGGTGTAGATTGTCATAGATGTCACTGGGCTCCCACGGTTGCCTTTGCAGCTCCATGTACGTCGCCTGAGGATCCTCCAGCGGGGGTGCCAGGGGGTCTTAGGGGGCCCTGTGGGAATAAGGGGGTGTGTGGAAGGGGATGGGAGGTGCTGGGGGTTTGGGTAAAAGGTGTATCATGGCTGGAGCCTGCCCTCACCTTTCCTGGTGCTTCTTGGCATCTGCAAAGGAAAACTGGAGGGGTGACTTTGGAGACCCAGGGGCCCCCATCCACCCTTGGGAATGCTGAACCAGACACACAATCCTCCCCAGGCGCCCCCAGTATCCCTGATATCCCCCCACTTGCACCAACAGCCTGAGCCCCCAGAACCCCAAGCCTGGCAGGGAGGGGAACCCCTGACAGAACCCCCAACATCCCTGCAGGACCCTCCAACAGCTTCCAGGGCTCTGAGCCATGGTCACTGGGGGCTTAGCCTCTCCCAAGTCAGGGGCTGTGGGTGCCGCCCTATGGCCCCCCTTCTTTGGGGCCCTTCCCACCTCTCTCCATGATCCCTGTCCCCCCATTGTAACCCACCCACACGGTGCCACCGCTGCCAGGCCACAATGACACCCACGAGCAGGAGCAGGAAGAAAAGAGCCCCACCGACCCCTGCAGCCACTGCAAGAAACAGAGGCGGTCACATCAGGGTCACCCATCACCCCAGGGGTCCTGCACTGCCTGGTGACCCCATGTGACCCCACCTGTGACCCAGGGTGAGCCAGGTGTCACCTCCAGGGCCAGCTCAGGGCTGAGTGCCCGGAACACGCGGTGCCCGTCCTGTCCCAGCTGGTTGGTGGCCATGCACTGGTAGGTGCCTGAATCCCACATCGATGTCCCTGAGCTGCAGGAGGGGACCCTCGGCCACCTCCTGCCGGTTGTGCAGCCAGGTGAAGGTGACAGGGGCGGAGCCCACCTGCACTGAGCAGTAAAGGGTCACGTTGTCACCTGCACGCACCTGGTGTGACAGGGGACTGGGTGTGATGGTGGCATTTGCCATGTGCACTGTGGGGACAGAGACAAGGCTGGCACCTGGCAGGGTGGGACGGGAGTGCTCAGACCGGGAGGGATCCGGGAAAGGTCGGGTACCCCAGAGCAGGCATCAGGGAGGGCTGGGCAATGCCAGGGAGTGTGGGGGACCCAAGGAGCTGTGGGGGCTCCCTGTGCCCATCCCCGCACTCACTGCGCACCGTGACGCGGAGCTGGGCGCTGCTCTTCCGCACGGCCCCACCCTGGGAGTGCACCTCACAGCCATAATTCCCCGAGTGGGAGACCCCCCACGGCGGGCACCAGCAGCTGCGGGGACCCCTGCGGGCCCCCCACCACCTGCCCGTCCCTGTAGAACACGTGCAGGAGGGGGGCTCGGGGCCGCAGGGGGCTGGGGGTGCTGAGGCAGCTGAGAGACAGAGGGGACCCCTTGGTGGGTGTGGGGGGATCCTCCAGCACCGGCACCGAGAAGAGCTCTGGGAAGGAGAGGGGAGGTAAGGACTGTGACTCTGAATCAACTGGAAAGTGGCTTTGGGGTTGTCAAGATATTGGAGTTCCAGCCATGGGGGTGCTCACCGTGCACTGTCACTGTCACTGCTGCTGACCGTGGCTGCCAGGACCCCACCAAGCCTGCACATCAGTAGCGGCCGCTGTGGTGCAGCTGCAGGGGGGACAGGGACAGCTCGGTTCCCCTGAGGGACCCCCCGAGATGGTTCTCCTCCCGGTAAAATCACACCCTGCTGAGATGGATTTCCTGCCGGCCCTGGCAGCGCAGTGTCGCTGTGTCCCCCTCCAGCAGTGCCCGCGCTGGCACCTGCAGCACCGGTGGGTCTGTGGGACAGGAAGGTCACATCTCACTGATGAGACCATACTGAGGTGGGTGCCCATAGCACCAGGGACATCTGGGTGCTCTGGAGTGCACTGGGCTGCACTGGGATGTCCCTGTGTGCAGGACACAGGCTCTCGCCACATGAGGGGTGTGAGGCCACCCATGGAGTGGAGCCCACCCTGACCTCTCAGGGGCCACCCTGATCATTAAAGATCAACCCTCACCATCTAAGACTGTCACAGGGGGGGCTGTGCCTGGTGCCGGGTCTGTCACATGTGTAGGTGCCACTCTCGGTGACAGTGAGGTGTTCAGGTCCTTCCTGCCACCAGTGCTGCCCATCCTTGTACCAGGTGGTGGCCCTGGCGGTCCCTGAGCCCTGGCAGGTCAGTGTCACCCGGTCCCACAGCACAACCCAGCCCTCGAGAGGGGGTCCACCAGGAGCTGGGTGGTCTGGGCACCTGTGGGTGACAGGGGACACCAGCCTGCCTGGGCCTGTGTGGGGCTGGGGACAGCGGGGGTGGGGCCATGACATCCCCTGAGGACTCACCAGTGAGGCCGAGGGTCTGGGCTGGCTGGAAGGAGAAGGGACAGGGCTTGGTGCGGGTGGAAGGAGGGAAGGAGGCACCAGCGTACAGGGTGTGGGGCCTGTCCCCAAAAACTCTCCCTGTGGGGACAGCATTTGTTGTGGGAAAGTGTGTGTGGGTGGTCTCAAAAAGATTTGGAGAGGGAGGGGGACATGTCTGTGTCACTGCCACCCGTGCACCACATCCCTGTGACACAAACACCTTGGGAACAGGACACCGAGGCCACCCTGGGCTAAGGCAGAACATGGGGACAATGTAGACACCCCTGGCATGAGGACACCACAGACACAGCCCATGCTGGCACAGGTCATCCCCACCAGCTCATGATCCCATCCCATGGCCACATCCTCATGGTTCTTGTTGCTTT